TGGTGCATCCCGACTGGCTGGCTGGGGTCCTAAGGACGGTGAACACGTTTGGTTGGACACACTTGCTGATATGGCTAGGAGCCGGCCCCAATGGCGTTTGTGTTGTGAGTTCCTTTGTCCATCCCCCTCCTGTTTAGCACCCCCTCCAATCACGATCTCAATCGTTAGGCATAATACAAGTCTCTTTGACGGCAGCCAGCTGTTAGCTCTCCGGAACGATGTCCATCCGTTACTGGGGACTCAGCGGGCGTGCCACTGTTTGTTTATTTGTTTTTTCTTTTCTTGCCTTTTGTATTGCGGCACAATAGCTGAGGTGTTTTCCGCCTCCAGCTAACGTGTAATGATGATGATGATGATGATGATGATGAGCATAGGACAGGCGAGTGATATGCAGATGTTAGCCAACTGTGGTGAACAGTAACCACTCAAACACCTCGGCTTGCATTGTAGGACCTATCAGTTCATGAATTGTGAAAAGAAACAAAACATGCGTATTGTTGCAATGCACCAAGATGGATTAGTGTCAATAAGGACTCCTCCACCTCGGTTTCAGTACGTGCAAGGGCGGTCAACCGGATGGTGAATGAATTCTCCAACCGACAAGACAGCATTATCCACCAGTTCGTGGAACCAGATTTCTTGCAACATATTGAGGCGTAGCTGTGAAAATTCTTTGGTAGAGGCTGTAGGGAAAAGTAAAACGCCTACTGCGGTAAGAAGCCCACCCATACAATTTTCCATTGCGATTCATATACAACTCTCCAGATCGTGGCCACGACACTCTTATATTCGCCCTACCTGTTTCACACATAAATGTCAGCTACCGAATGCCCTTCTTACTGGTAAAATAACTCAATGACATTCGGAATATGCTTGGAACCGACTAAGATTTTATGATTTCAGAAGATTGTGAATACAAATCGGTTTTGGTAGGGTTTTATTGTGGCAACGTTTCGCCCTTGACACAAGAGCTTCCTCGCCTGAAGAAGTTCTTGTGTCAAGGGCGAAACATTGCCACAAAAAACCTTACCAAAACCGATTTGTATTCAAAACCTTCTGGACCCAATGACATGTTTTACGCTCTTGTTCACCTAATCGTTGGCATATCATTTAAGCGTATTTGAAGCTGAAGCGGTATAGCAATTAATTTGTCATTATATTTTACAAATGCGTATTCAATGATAGAATCAGCCCCGGCGTCACGTTCTACTGGCACGTAACAGGCAATACATTCAGTTATTTTGCACCCAGTCCGAAGGCTGGCATGTCAAACTGCAAATGATTCGATTGTTAGCAGAGAGAATATTATAGTATTTCCACTGCTTTTGAGATTTGGCCATAAGAAACAGTTTGTGAACGTCTTGAAAATTGAAGGGGAATGCTTTGAATACATACCTCTGTTCATCGTAGCCGCAGTCGAGATTTTGTGTTGAAATACAGCCACACGGCAGGTATTCCAAGACCCAAAAATGAACTTCTAAATGATAGGTCAAGGCCCGCTCGAAGGGTTATGGCTTAGTGAAAAAGTCGTTAATCACTATGCCTCGTCCTCCACTCTCAGCTTAGGCTAGCTCTACCTGACGAGTCCTAATTTGGACAAAAGTGGTCGGTCGTGAAAGGCACTGTTGGGAGAGAGCAGGTCCGAAACTCACCATTTCGGATGCGGCCCCGGTGATTATCATCATCATCATCCTCATCATCATCATTCTGAACACTCTCTGATTTCTTTTAGTAAGCGATTGTCACTCTGTTTTGGGTTATCACCAGAAAAGATGTCTGGCGAATTATTTACTGGGCATGTGAAATAAATGAGAATATCCGTAGCTCGGGGTGTGGATTCGGATTTTGAGCTGTTCTCCGAGCCGAGTGATTATTGTGCAGACGTTTCGTTGCCTGACTAGGTAACATCATCCGTGTAGCTTCAGAGGCCAGTTTCGCAGTGCCTCGTAAGCGATTTCAATGTCCAAGTGCTTATTGATCGAGTTCTGCTTTGAATTCCAGGCTTCAGTGAACTCATGTGCTTGCCGGCTTTTAGCCCTTCCGAGGCTGCTGGTGTGCTCTAGGTTGAATTGATGGTTCTTGGCATCCATATGCGCTGACATCAGGGAGTTCTGATCGTGGCGACGAATGGCTAGGCTGTGTTCGTGTAGCCTTGTGCCAAGCTTTCTTCCAGTCTGTCCTACGTAGTATTTGTCGCAGTTCCGGCAGCAGATCTGATAGATTACACCAGTTGAATCCTCTTTGATAAGCTTATCTTTCATTCTGAAGAGTTTGCTGTGAAATGTTTCCGTTGGCTAGTGTGTAACGTTGATTCCAAAAGGCAATAAAAACCTCGCTGCCATTTCATAGATTCCATCGATAAAGGGCGGAGTTGCTTTATTTTCAACTGTTGCATTTGTCGATGTGTGCTGAGCAGCCTTTTGTGGTGCGAGGCAGCGTAGAATGAAGCCTTTCAGGTACGAGTTCCGTTGAGCAGATTGAAGAGATGGTCTTCTTCTGCCCGTCTCAGCTGCAGTGTACTACAATGGATTTGTGCTCGTTTGCAAAGGGTTCGCACGCAGCTGCGTTTGTGCGCTGCCGGATGGTTGCGGCCGTAGTTGAGGATCTGGTCAGGTAGACTGTTGTTTCTAATTGTTCAGCACCAGTCCGTCGTATGAGAACGTCTAAAAATGGTAACTGTTCGTTGTTCTCCTCCCTGCTGAATTGGATGCCATCGAACATACTGTTGATTAGTTCGTGTGTTTCCCCCAATTCGGAACGCTTGAGAATGAGGAAGGTGTCGTCTACGTATTGTACCCAAGGTTTTTGCGCGCGAGATCGGAAGTGCTCTTTGTTCCAGCGCTTGTATCACTGCCTCGGCTACCAGACCAGAGATCGGCGATCCCAGTGGTGTGCCTCTTATCTGCTCGTAAATTTGGTCATTGAAAGTGAAATGTGTTGGTAGACGGAATTCCAATAACTCCAGCATCTGTTTGGCGTCGAGTTTACTACTTGTACCAGACGACGTGTGCTCCTCTAGCAAGCGAGTCATTGTTTCGCCAAGTTGATGTCGACTGAAGTGAACAAAGCGGTAACACTAAAAGAGACCATTATTTCGTCCCGTTCCATGGTTGCGGTTTTAAGTTTCTCAAGGAACTGTTCTGCCGAGTTGATCGAGTGTTCCGACCCGGCGATTAGGTGTTTTAGCCGTCTCCAGAGCTCCTTTGCAAGCCTATAATTTGGTGCTCCAAGTAACCACGCCGCTTTGGTGTACTTTAGGTAAGCCATGGAATCGCGGCAGTAGCGAATCTTGTGGTCGCACCATCTTGTGTTCCAAATTTGTGATGTTCCCCATTTGTTCCAGTTTTTGCAGACATCTTCTGGCAATCCATTTGTCATGAAAACATGTTCTACGCTAGTAAACTAACTCTGGAAGGCACAAGCTTTGACGTCAAGTTGAGCTTTTTGAGATAGAGGTTATCTTCAACTTGTTATGTGGGCGGCGCGATAAGTATCTGGTTCATCGTTCGCTTCAATCTTCTTGATGAGGCCGTTTAATTCTACACTTATTGCTGATCTACGTTAATTTCGCGTGTTATTCACGCGATTTTCGATGGCATATTCAGGATCCGCGTCGGAAAATATTTCTCTTGAGGAATTCATGACTGGAAGATCGTTATTCCTGCGCAGCAGATTGTCGACTGGCAAAGGTTTCCCAACAATCCGTAAGCTGTTGGTTGATCGCGTGAATAGCTTTGATATGGCACCAAACTTGCCAAGCCCAGTGAAAAGTACGTCGAACAAAGGAACAACCTGTGAGGAACAACCTATGAGGAATTTCGGACCTGCTCTCTTCGAACGCTGCACCTCACGAACGACTGGTTTGGATCGGATTGCGTGTCGCAATCCAGACACACGACAGGTACTCCAAGACCTAAGCATAAACTTCAAACCGCTGGGTCAAGCGGTGCTGTTGACCTCTCAGCCAGTGACCAAGACGAAAGCCGTCAATCACTATGAGTAGGGCACTACACTCAGCTCAGGCGATCTCGGATGAGTGCAAATCAGGAGGAATATGGTCGACTGTAGAGTGCACTGTTGGGAGAGACTAGCCCCAAAACTTTCCACTAAGTACTTTCGGTTTCTCCGTCTTTATGGACGATTAAAGCTGGTTTCTTGATGTCCAGCAACTTCAGGCTCTAGTGCGTAATGAAGAGTTTGTCCCACAGACGAATGTCAAGCGGATGAAGGTGTGCTAGTCATTTGCAGAATCCATGTAAAACTTGCTTATGAGGAGCAGGCTAACCTAACGGTTGACATTTCGCGATCTTGGGTAAAATATGACCATCAAGATGCATTGCCTGATCAGTTCTAAGTTAATATTGTGGCCGTAAACGAAGAGCATGGGAAAAGTTTTCATCAAGATTTGGTGCCCATGGAAGGAGGTTAGCAGAGACAATTGAAGAAAAATTATTGGGCTCACTGTTTTTTGAACATCAAAGGTGACTGCCAAAGAAAATATGTCGAGGCAAAAGCATGAACACAAATTATTGTCCATATAATTTTTGTAATCCATCTAGCTTTGTGCTCATGCCGTGCAGAAACAAAGTGTTGAGTTGGGTATATATGTTTACATTAATATATATTTATGATACATCAGTTCGTAGACAACCATTGTGAAGACTTTCGTCTGTTGCAAAATTTTGCACAGTTGATCTTCAAAAAATATGCAGCTTACGGAGAAAATGCGATGTCAGCTTTGAATTCAGCATTCACAAAGCATGTAAGTATGACGTTTGCTTATTTGCAGAGCAAACATTGTATTGCTCTGTGTTATTTACGGTGTCTGTTTGAAAATATGTGTTTCTAAGATCCGTTAACAAGAACTTGAATGGAAAGCGTGATATAGTATTCGAATCCATCACAATGAAGAGAAATTCTAAAGCAGAATGACTTTGCCATGTTAGTCCATGTTGAATGAATTTAATTGAACAGCCATATCGTATATGTAGTGTGCTTACCTAGCTCCGCATAGGTTTGAGAAAAACTCGTGCCATTTACTACAGATGAATCAGTTTGTACTTCACTAGAGGTTAGTTCATGCGGCGTTGCTGCTCCTGTGGTCTCTGCCAAAGCCAATTCGAGTTCCGTCACTCTTTGCTGTGAGGCACGTAGACGTTCGTGAACCTTTTCGTCCAAGGCTGTGTGGTGTTCAAACAGGGACTTGAGCGCTTTGAGTACCTCGGTTTCTGAACTTAGCCCTGCTCCAGCTGGGCTTGCTGTGCCCGAGGTGGATTGTTGATGATAACCTGCTAAAGTGGAATCAGCTTCCGCATCTTGCTGCATACTCTCCGACCCAGTCTGCATCAGGTTCATTGTACTAGCCGAGGTCGTGTGACGTTTGACAACGGTCATTCTCAGTGATCGTTCATGCCGTGCAACTAGACCCTCCAGGTGTTCCAGCAGTATCTGAAGAAAGCAAATATGCGTATTTGTGACTTTACTGAATGTTACTAACTACCTCAATCGAGTTCCAGCACCTCAGTTTGATATGTAATGAATAAATTACAATAGCCACCAAAAATTAGATGACATTATTTGGAGTCAAGTCTCAACCAGACAACACGCCGGGAAAGCGCTGTCTTGTAGTTTCATTAGTAGTGCGCATTCTCTGAATACTTCGGAATCGAACACATGAGCTTTGTAATTGGTTGTTGCAGCAGTAGGCTATGAATGAAGACGGAGAACTCCATGGCTGAGTATTTAGTTGACGTTGAATACGACTCAGCTTCCACCCACATCCAAGCTATGAAAATACAAAGGAAAGGTTTGCCCTACGAACTGCGACTTTCTTTGCCCAATACCACCAGAAGAAGTGGTGTGCACGCTATCCAGATGGGTGCTAACTGATGATGCAAACCTGGTGCAAATCTAGTGGCGACCCTTCACAGCAAAACCTTGTTTAGACAACCCCATAATACCGAGAAGGAAAGGTCGGTTGTAACTTTCCTGGATGTTCAGAGGGATGTATAGCTGAAGACCAGACGATGTGAATATTCCATGGAAGAGTGCCAAAATTCTCCTATTTCTCTTTCTCTTTATAGCTGCAAAATCGCAGTCAAAATTTTCCCTTAGTCTATTTCATCAGGGTAGTTACCTGTGAGTGTATAAGAAAGTGGTAAGAGGATTTTAGTGTTTTGTACTTGATTTTATTCTGATCAGCCCACCCTGAAATTTACCAGTTCTTTAAGAGGTGAGGTTCAGTTCCATTGGAACTATCAGCTGTGCGCGACTTCAGTCCTCGTCAGATGTCAGAAACCGGAGTCGTAATATTCAAGAGCAGGACAGAAGTCACCAGACAACACAGTTTAGTAAGTAACAACAAGGAAGTGTAGATCACCCTCCTGTATTGCCTGCGCCCCCTGTCATGTTTATAACGCCAGATGATTAGGTTTCTCTTATCTGTCTTGTAGCAAATTTCCATGAAATCTATATGGCAGTAAAGTGCAACTCATTGAGCTTATCTACATCAATGTTCAATTCCTATTTGGGTCGGCTACCGTTTACCACTGTGAGCTAAGTGCTAGAATCATTTCCACAAAATAGTAGTTGGTCATCGACTCAAGGCTCTCAAAGTTATATCGGAATGTGCATTGGCAACCAATCCCAGAAAGAGAGAAAGGTTGTTAGATACCTTTTGGAAATTTGGCTTCCAACCCGTAAGGATGTTTTAACGACAGAGATCAGGGGTCCAAACCTGAATCGAAAAGTTTGCTTTAACGAGAGCCCCAGCAGAAAACCAGATTGGTTGCGCCAACTAGCTTACTTTTGCGCAATGAGTAATTCCGCGCTGTTGAAGGCTCGCGCGAACCAGGTTGACTAACCCAGCAACGGATGAGCATAGGTAACGTTAGTGAATTAGAGATTAATTATTTCATACAGTTGAATGTAAACATTCACCATCCTAATCAGTGAGGCTCATGGAGAAAGGGTAGACTTCCGTTTGAGTAGCTTAAGATTGTTAGGAATTTCATTTAGACCATTTCTATTGTCCGATAGTTCATGCGAACTAGTAATACTATAACAGGTAAGTATGAAAAGTTGAATAATACAGGTTGGAATTATTGCATCTAGACTTGGACCGCCATCACAGATCCTCAAAAGCACACGGTGGCTGTTTCATCCGTGTAAGCAATAAGCATACCGAATTAATTACAATGACATGGGATAATTGGCAGCTTAAACCACGTAACTTCGCAGCTCTGAAGGCCACTCTGTTTTCTGCAAGGCACCAAGTCAGTGAGAAGTGAGCCGTCCTACATCAGCATTAGCAATCTGTTCATGGTGGTCGTTGCCGAAAGCGGTAACCCAGTGTACTCAATCATGCAATGGCAGTTGAGCAGGAGAAATAAACACCGTTGTTGCGTCCTGTGAGGGTGAAACAGTCGTGCAGTGCTCTCTCGGATGTGGGATGATTGTCTCGCGAAATCCAGATGTGGTGGATTCCAACGCAAGTAACACTTGATACATAGCAATCGGTAGCTTAAGGATGTAAGAGGTTGTCCACCCGCTCGATACTATCGATCTCAAAATAGTAACGCGCAGAGTAGTTGCAACTACCGGGTAGCATGCACTCGTGTGATTTAGTATCGTGCAGCATAGTACGCAAATTCCCACATATACGCATAACGGTCAGACTACTGAAGGGGATGAAGAATACACAAAGATAACAGGCACAAATGTGAATTAGAGATCCTCCATTGTACGTAATTATGCTGAACAGAAACTACGTATTGACAGATTAGGCTACTCGCTTCCATTTGTCGCAGAAACATTCTGATTTATCCGAAAACGCCCACATATAGCTCCAGTTTAGCTTTCTTTAACAAACTGTGACACACAGCTAAATAAAATACGGTTGCAAATTATGTAGCTCAGCCAACGTCTTCGATGGTTCAGTTGGCATCTACCTCTAGCGGTCATGGGTTCGATCCCCAGTAGGGGACCGAGGGAATGCGCACAACTGACGAGCCTCAATAGGACGAAACGCGTCTGGTGTTTTTCCGGACTAGGCTCTGCTATGTAGCTTGTGAACTACTGGGATGAATACCTTAACAAATAGGGTTGAATATTTAAACAGGAACAAGCGATTAACACTATCGTGATAAAGTGTCTCCACTCTAACGTATGCAACCGATACTTGACAAAATTATCCAGGAGCACACCGAATCTACATATTGAAGATCATCTATGGCCGTGTTACTCGGATTTTTTGAAGAAAGTGCCCAAAGATAACTGTTTTTCTAAGAGCAACCATTAAAACGGATGAGCAAATCGCGACGTTCTTTCCATGCCATATGCCAGATGGTTCACGTGCATCGCACTCGTTATAAGACCATGAAATATCGTGACTATTTACCAGACTTGCTATCCTCTCACAGATCAGTAGTTCAAGGTTACAAAAACGGGTAGCGTTATTGAGTATGAGCTCTTGGATAGCGTGAAAAAATTAGCCCAGGTAGATGAGAGGGACATATTATAGTGAACAGCGTTCTGTTGTACTGCTAACTAAGCAAGCATCTCAGTTTTCGTCAACGTCTACGGCCCATCGATATTGTTGGTCCAATACTCTTATAAACTGATTAATGTTCAAAATGCTTTACGGCAGTGTTGCAGGACGTTGTGGGTTTTCGCCTAGCAAGCGCTCTCTCTATAAAAAGCCACAAATGTCTGTTTAACAACACTGCGACGTGGCGAATGTGACTCGCCACTGAATAAAGTCACTGCCCACAACCACATACTGGCAAGTCGACTAGACTCACATATCAACTCTTCCCGACACCGTTTCAACTTCACACGATGGAACCCGATGTATCGTCGTGATACACATCTGTTTTTAAACATTGATCATGCCTGCGTTGGTGTGTCTCTATGAAACTGAGAATAAACTATTTATTTATTTAGTTAAGGTAGAAGTCACGTGAAATAAGCAACTGCTAGGAAGAGCAAGCACAGGTACAGCATAAGGAAATTCACTTGAGATAAGAAAATAATACCAACTCATAAAGCAAAGTACAGCAAATCAACTTGAAGTACGAAGCTGTGAGCTAATCAGGAAAATGGAAGTGTTTCGTGGTCCCACCAAGTGCGTCAAGTTGCCGCTTAAACCCCTTAACCGCAGATTCCTTGATAACACTTTCTGGAAGCAGGTTTCGTCGCTCGATGACCATGCGCGACAGCCGAATTTCCACCCTACTCCGATCGGATCGCAGTTTGTCCAGCTTCAAGGAATGCCCATGTAAAACAGCCTATCTAGCGGAATTGAATAGCCGAGGTAAATCTGGACCAGCCTTCCCAGTTACGATACGGTAGCCTAGGATTAGGACTTCTCTAAACCTTCGGTAGTGCATTGAATGCCGTTCCAAACAAAGTAGAGGCTCCGGGTAGTCTGTCCTCGTAATCCATCAACTAACCTAGTACCCACCGGTAAAACCCTCTCTAGCTCCATTTTGCCCCTGAGGAGGCAGGGTGATTAAGCCTTGAAGCAGTACTCCAGATGAGGCCGAACGGAAGCCAAAACCAGCCTGGTAAATAAGCCGCCCGTCAAGGCTCCGAAAGGACGTCGTATTAACCACAGCATGCGGAAACCTCTGCTTGCGGCCACCATTTAGTCGTCGCCGGAGTGAAAAGCCGAAGTGGGTAGACGCCTAGATCAACCTGGCTAGATACACGGGGAGTTCCATCCACCCACCAAGTATTTCGTAGGAGGACGACCTCCTCCAATTCGACGTATGGACAGAACCCACAAAGTAGACCAGGCTTCAAGTTTATCCCATGCTCTCTGAATAGCTTCGGAACCCTAGGGATATCGACAATGTTCCGCAGCTTCAGGTCATCAGCAAATAGAAGCGAGGTTACATCAAGCTGCTCTGGTAGGCCAATCCCAATTATAGAGAACCGCAGCGATCCAAGGACTGAGCCCTGCGGAACGACAGTGAGGGCAGACTGCCTAAAGCATAGGCCAAGGTCTACCCTACACACTGCTCTATACCATTCAAAAAGGCAGTCAACCAACGAGGGTCGCGGCCGGATACCCCATAGGACGTCAGCTTTTGCGCGAGCTTCAAATACGGTACCTTGTCAAGTGCCTCCGAAAAGGCGATGTGAAGCACCTCCAGTGTGTGGCCGTTATCCACTGCATCCGCCTAACTTTCTCAAACCACCAGTAGATTCGTCAGACCTGAAAATTCCTTCCGGAATCCGTGTCGTACATTGCTATGTTGTTTAAATGTACTCAGACAACTCTCCAATGAATCCCTTAGCAGTTTCTAGCGAAGTTTGACCACTGCATCCGTCAGACTAACTAGCCTGTAATT